GTTCACAGCATAACCTGAATTCTTCAATTGCCTTTCCATCTCTTCAAGCATTGCATAAATCTCCTTAGATCGAGGGTGCGAATTATCATCCACCACAAACTCGTAAATCTCTCCATTAGCTTCAATTGAACTCCATCCTGGTGAGGTTTGAATCCCATCATCTTTCATCACTTTTCTCAAGTTTGCGACCCCATCCCAGTTACCTTTTGATGCATAGATATTTGTTAGCAGAACGTAGTCACCCGCTTGTTGAGCCTTTAGTTCAACGAGATGACCCATGACCTTTTCACCGAGACATGCGTGGCCATGGATGCGACATGCACCGAGAAGAGTTCTCCATATGGTCGCATCAGGCTTGGCATGCATCGAGCTTATAATCCCATAGGCTTGTTCAAGCATCCCAGCTCGACCGAGTAGATCAACCATGCACCCATAATGGTGCAAATTTGGCACAATCTTATACTTGCCATGAATGAGATCATGGAAATGTGCATGGCCGTCATCCACTAATCCGGCATGGCTGCATGCCGATAACACACCAGTGAGCGTATGCTCATCAGGCTCAACCCCTGATCTTAACATGGCATCAAAGGCATCAAGGGCCATCCTCCCATGACCATGCATTGCGAGCCCGGATATCATGGTGGTCCATGTGACCACGTTCCTCTTCATCATCTCCCTAAAAACTATATATGCCTTATCCAAACACCCGCACTTTGCATACATATCAATCAGAGAATTACACAGATTAATGGCATTTCCAATTCCTCTTTGGTCCATATACTCATGGACCCTTTCTCCTAAATCCAATGCCCCCAAATTAGCGCAAGCCTGAAGAGTAAGCAGGCAAGTAACATTATCTGGGTGGGCCCCATCTTCAGTTACCATCTTCTCGAAAAGCTTCATCGCATCTCTGGTTCGTGAATTTTGCAGAAAACATGAAATTAGAACATTCCAAACAACTGTATCTCTTCGAGGCATGATATCGAACACTCTATGCGCATCATCACGATGATGACATCGAGCATACATATCCATCAAAGAAGTTAAAAGGAACACATCTGGTTCATACCCATCTTGTATAATCCGACAATGAATTTGTTTTCCTTCGAACACGGCAAGAAGATTTGCACATGATTTGAGTGTGAAAGAGGAAGCAAAGGCGTCGGTGTTCACACCAATTTTCCTCATTTGTTTATAGAAGAAGAGGGCTTTCTCAGGGGATTCACTGAGAGAGTAGCCTCTGAGCATGGTGTTATAGAGATAAACTTCAGGTTTTCTTATTCCGGCAAATACCAAACGAGTGTAATTCATGTTAGAGGGAGAAGAGAGCGCGACGAAGGAGAGGAGATGTCGTAAAATGGAGGGATGGTGTATGAGAGATGTGCATAGGGCTTGGGCATGGATCTGGCGAAGTTGATCCATGGTTGAGCATAATTTCAAAAGAGAGATTAATGTCTCTTCTTGGTTTCTGTTTGCCATCTTTTGTTGGGCTCTCATGACTGATTTTCCTTCATTTTCGGTATCTATTTCTTCTTGAAAATGGGGTATGATTGGGGCAAAGGAAATGGATGGTTTTTGTTGGGTTTTTATTGATAAATTCTCATGGGTTTTTGCAGAGAGTGCAGAAGATGATGAGAGATGAATTTGATGCTTGGCTTTGTGGGTGCTGGTCTTGAGGAAGCGAATGGCTGCCATTTATTTTGAAAGCTAAGGAGCCATTTCATGCTTGTTTAAATTTCAACGTACATAAACTGTAACACCACATAACGTATATATGGTAATTCCTGAGGTTTAGGCCTTGGATCCTTTATATTATTAAAGGGGGGCGGCAATGGACCCAGGCCCAACCCGGTAGCCGATGCCCCGACTTGACCCGACCCAATGCAATGCCACCCTTAATATTGTACGCTATTTAAAGCAATGGTTTCCTTCGATTGACACTGGTTACCAGTGTTTAAATCCCAGGAACCTTAGCTAGCCACTGTCCCGAGCCTAAGTCACCTGAGTTGAACCCACAGTTTTTAACAAAGAAATGGATGTTAGGGGAAGACTGATGTTTGCTTCCAGACTCAGCAGGGGGCTGACCCGGGCTGAGTATCCCATTTTTGAAACAATGATAAAAAAGTATAAGAACTACAACCAAATAAAAGGCAAACAAAATAAAAAGGACAAGGTTACATAGAACAAAACAATGGTTTTATACAGACATTTCTAATCAATTGGAATATACATGTGCATCGAGGAGAATATCACTAAATTACAAAGAGTGAAACCCACCAAGAAGTTAAAATTCTCAGATCCTGGAGAGGTCTTTTTTAAGTCCCAAGATATCAAGAATTTAACAATAATTTCCTCTTAATTTATTTACCAATAATCACCACACGAGCACGACCCACCTCTAAAGTAGTGGAAACGATGCAAATCCCGCAATATTATCTCTCTATCAAAAATCTTCGAAACGAGCTTCGCTACGCTGTGACAATCTGCACACACCCTGAGGTTCTTCACAATGCGCATGGTGCTACCCGGGGCCGTGTTTATGAGCCCAAAAGCCATGGCCAGTTTCTCACTATGGTATCGAAGTGTCGCTTCTTTCTCTTCTTCGCCCATATTGACATGAAAAACCAATGAAGTTTGAGGTATATAACCACCAAGCTTAAGCTGTTTCATGAGCTCATCAAGTATGCTATGTAGCTCCATAGCTAGAGGGTGGTTCCCATCTCCTGAGAAGAACTCATGAACCACATTATCAACCTCAATTGAGCTACAGCCAGGTACTTTCGTAACCCCACGTTCAAACATGAGTTTACGAATTGAATTCACATCGTCCCATTTCCCAGCTTGGGCACACATATTGGAGAGGATAACATAGTCCCCACCATGCTCCTGGTCGTGCTCAAATATATGCTCTGCTACTCTCTTGCCTAATTCTACATTGCCTTGGACACCACAGGCGGCTAAGAGGGTGCGCCATAATATGGGGGTTGGCTTGATCGGGAGGCTTTTGATGAAACTATAGGCCTCATTTAGGAGACCTGCTCGACCGAGTAGGTCTACCATGCAACCATAGTGCTTTATTCCTGCTGTAACCCCATACACGCGTTTCATACTTTCAAAGTACCTATGTCCCAAAAGTAAGAAAAGAGTGAAAAATTTTCATTCAATGTGGATTTTCTCATACCGACTTTTAGTACACCACATCCTATTTGAATTCTATTTTCATTATAAGGTAGAGTATGTTTATAACATTAACGTACTAGATTCCATCATATAGCACCAATGCAAAAGGTAGAGTATGTTTAGAACATTAATGTACTAGATTCCATCATATAGCACCAATGCAATTTTTCATTAATCACCATCTATGAGATATAATGGACTCTGATAGAGAAAAAGTAGGACTCATGAACATGACTTCATGACAATTCAACGAACTCTCCTTCACCATTCATCATTTCAATAGATGGCGACCCGCTCGGACCATGATTTTCCATTGTCCATTCAAGTGTTCACAAATTTGGATAGTGCAACTTGGAACCGGCCTGTTAGATTGGGAACCGGGCCTTAGCCGGTTCTTATTTTGGAGGGTTTTGGCGATCCAATCGGGTATTTAAAAAAGAATTACTATTTTTTTATAAAATCTCAAAAAATAAGGGATTTATTTGTAATGTGTTTTTGATGAATGTCTTTTATCCTTTCGACAAAGGTTGGAAAATGTTTTGGCCATGAATACTTATTTTTCCATTTTTTCATCTTTTTTATAAAATTTTAAAAATACCTCTGGGCACAAATAGATTTTTTTAAATCCATTTTCACTAATTTTCGACTTCATTTGGATGTGCATTAAATATAATTTTTTTTCAATAATTCTCAACTTCATTTGGATATGTTAATCATACTTTAAATATAATTTTTATATACTTTTTAAAACGGGCTGATTGACTGGTTACTCCAAACAGGCCCTTGGCTAGTTTCTGAGGCAGGTTTGATTTTTTGAACATTATTCCATTCAATTGACTACATTGAAACATTCAACGAAGAAGAGAGTACCTTCGCCCCTCGTCTATCAAACCAGTGTGGCTACAAGCATACAAAACACCAAGGAATGTGATATCGTCAGGTTTGATTCTCTCAGTCTCCATCTTTCTAAACAAAGTGAGTGCATCCTCTCCTTGTCCGTGTATTGCAAATGCAACAATCATGGCAGACCAAGCCTGCGTATCTCTAAAAGGCATCTTTTCGAAAACCATTTTTGCATCTTCTATGCTCCCACACTTTGCATACATATCTATGAGTGCAGTGTTCACCTTAACAAACATATCGAGTCCATTCTTCTTCACAAATTCATGAACCCACTTCCCCAAATCCACAGCCCCGAGTAGAGAGCAAGCGGAGAGCACGCTAAGAACTGTTACATCGTTTGGTGGTGTATTGTGTGCTTGCATTTCTCTAAATAGGGCCAAGGCCTCATTAGGCCGACTACGTTGAACATAAGCAGTGATCATCGAATTATATAAGACCACACTCCTCCCTTTCATTGTGGCATTGAAAACCTTCTGAGCTGATTCAATGGCACCGCAATCAGCGTACATTCGTATGAGTGTTGGCTGAACAAAGATGTTCGAATCAAGCTCGAGCTTTATGCAATGGCAATGCAAAGCTCGGCCTTCTTCGAGAGCTGAAGCCATTGCACAAGCCTTGAGAATTGAAGGGAATGTATAGTTATCGGGTTGAATGTTATTGGTAAGCATCTTGACAAAGAGATTGATTGCTTGAATTGGGGTGTGGCTACGAGAATAGGATCGAATGAGAGTGTTGAAGAGGACAGTGTTAGGTTCTGGGATTTGATCGAACAATTGTTGGGCATATTCGATGTGTTCAGGTAGAGAGAGAGAACAGAAACTGGCGAGTTTAGAGAGGGTGGGGGCGTGGTTTTGGAGGTGGGTTTTGATGGTGTTGGCTTGGATTTGCTTGAGTTGGGAGAGGGTGGCACACCTAGAGAGGAGAGAGAGAGATGGTGGTGATGGCGAGTCTGAAATTTGAGTGCCAGGAGAAGAGAGATGGGTTGGGTTGAGAGGTAACGCTGTGGAAGCCATAGTTGAAAGAACCCAAATTCTATCTCAATCAAATTTCCTCTCTCTCTACTAAATTCCCTCACTCTCTGGCTTGGAAAACTTTAATGGTCTTTACAGAATGGTAATCTGACAGTGCAAATCACAAGCAATCTACCCCTTGATGCAAGCCTAAACCTCTCTCTCTCTGTCTGTGGCAATGGAAACCTCTCCCACTGAGATTTTGAGACACAAGCTCTCTGTCTCTCTCTCTAAAGACCACATGCTCCCGCGGGAGCAACGTGGTCTAGCTCGCTATCTCTAACGCAGCAGGGAACGATAACCGGTTTTCAAAGATATGGGTAATTTAGTCATTTGTCCGCATACCGCCAACTCTTGATTGGACGGCATTAACGGGAGTAGCTAGTGTCCTCTTAACCGGAGATCACGGTAACGGGAGTAGCTAGTATTGTCTTTAAGTCTTAACTCTTAACTGTATATCACTTTGCCTCTTCATCTCAACCGTTGATATGACACTAGAAAGTAGAAACGCTTTTAAAACCCTAAACGAACCCCAGTTCAGGGAACGCATAGAGCCCCGTCATTCCACGCCCATTGTGCTTCAGGTCTCTCTCTCTCTTCATTTTATTGTCTCTGTTTAATGTTTAGTCCTGTTTGCGATGAGAGATGAGATGTATCTCTCTAGGTTTCTCTTCCTTCACTTTCTATACTCTCTCTAATGTTTAGTCCTTGTAGTTGCTTAGTTCTTTGAGATTTGAACGACAGGGATGATTTTTTATTTGTAAATTAGGGTTTTGAAAGGAGATGGTAGTTTTTTATTTTTATTTTCTGTTCTGAATCGTTGATATTTTAATCTCAGATTTTCAGCATCGTTTGATTTGCACAAGGTCTGATCCATTTCTTGGTTGGATTGAACTTTGAAAACGGTGCTAAAATAGAAGTCCATTGCATTGCATTTTGAATGGAATGCAATTGTAATGGAAGCGGCCAGACAACCGTAGGCTTGGATCCACAGATGAAGGGCTCAAAATGCCCCTTGTCTACTGATTCCAACCCACACTTATCTCTCTCTTGATGAAATTCTCTTGCCCTTTCGATGAATTTCCTTCTCTTTTAGATGAATATCTCTGTCTCTTATCTTGTAGGTCTCTCTCTATACTTCTAATCAATATCTCTCTTTTGTTGAATCTGACCTTTCTACCTCTGAATTACCTTTCTTTCTTTTTTTTTTCCTGAATTATGTTTTATTATTGTTGATTTTTTCTGAATTACCTTTTTCATTTTGTCTTTATTTTTTATTTTTTATTTTTTTGTTAAAGGTGATAGAAAACTAGGGCAAACTGGCTACCGCAAACTAGAGCCTGCGCCCGTTCCGAATGCCTTGCCCTACTCGGTCTGTGTTTTTCCGTAGAGCAAGTCCTTTGGTTGCTATAGGGCTGGCCCATGCTCGACCCGCCTATTCCTATAGGCTAGCTCCTCTTGTTCCTATAAGATAGGATGACTCGTTCAAACTATTTTTTGTTCTTCAAATCCAATTTTTTCAGCCACCCTAATTTTCTTTTGTTCTCTATATCCATCGTTTTTTATATGTTTTAGTCTTTTGGATTATTGCCTATCTTAACTATCTTTTGGTACTGTAAATCCAACTATTTAAATAATTATTTTATACTTTGGCCTCTGAAAATTCATAAGGCTCTTGGGCCCTCATACTGAGAAACTGAGAAATTGTTGAAGTTTCTTCCAGTTGCTACTATTCAGAAATTTGTTAAGAGGTTTTTAACTTTTTTTTTTTTTGGTATAAAGCTAGGATATCATTTATAAATTTTATTTGTTATTTCATTAGTACTCAAAAGTAAAACATGAAAGATGGATTTATGCATTCTTTTCATTTAGCAATGCTTATAATACATATCAATTTTGGCCATGCTTGTACGTGAAGATGTAATGATCAGCAATGCTTATACTTGCAGTTGTAATTATTGAAAAGATCCAATATATCAGAACCAATACAGATTTATCTTACGTGATAGAGGCCTTCTGTTCAACAAAGCTCAGATAGAGGTGTTTTGTGCAACAATGTTTTAGGTATGAAACACTGAAATTCTTTGAAATAATTGCTAATTTTCTTGTCTGAAAAAGCTCATGAGGTATCAATCTTATATTGTAAAAGTAAGGTTACCTCATAAACCGTTTAAAGTATGTTGCTCTAATTCTTTTGAGTATGAAAACAGTGTAGGAAAAATCGGGTTGTTTAAATTCTAACAGCCCAGTTAGATCCTACTGGCTGGTTCTGGTTTTGGCCGGTTTTTGTGAACAGGCCAAGCATTTTAAAACAAATAAAAAATATAGAAAATCTCATAAAATATGGGATTTTGTATCGGCCATTAATACTTTTGTTTACCTATTTACATCTTGTTTTAGAAAATATAAAAAATACACTTTGAATCTTTATAATCTTGTTTTTTTTTAATTAATTTTTAACTCATTTGGATGTGTTTTGTTTAATCATAGCTTTGAATATATTTTTATATTTTTAAGAATTACAAGGTCGTTCTATGTATTTTTAATGTATGTTTTTTGTTTTTTGAGTAGGTATGAGTGAAATAGGAAATTAAAAACGAACCTTCTTGTTTTTAAATAGGGATTTTTTTTAAAAAAATGTTTAATAGACTAGATTTGAATCCCTTAAAGGCAACTTTGCCGAGGTGATCATTTTATTTTTTGATCGCTTCTTTTCCCTGTTGCCAATATCAAATAAGGATTTTGGTGCGTGATCTCTTAACTCCATTTATCTGATCAATGCAAATCCTAATGAGGATTGTTAATCCACATTTTCCATTTTTAATGTGTACTAATATTTTTCATTTAATATGCACACACATACAATTGCTTGGCCTTTTTTTTTAATTGGGAATGTACTTTAAAATCTCAATTAATAATTTGTGAATTTAAAAATAGTCCTCTAGATATTTTGTAATTTTATATTACCATTTATCCCTAATTTGGACATTTAATGCCCGAGCAAGGGGTTTCGCATTTTTTAGTTGAAAACATTGTTAATGGGATGGTAGAGACAGGGGATCAGCATGTCTCACTTGGAAAATTATTGTGACTAACAATGATCGCTGAATCTCGCCACATGTAAATTTTCTCAAACGATTAGTGATTTGGACGTTGTCTATATTTGAACCTAGCCCATTTGAATGAACAATACAGAAAAACATTCTTTCTGTGTTAAAAACTTTGTTAATTAGTAGTACAGACACTGGATGTTCGAGTATATCTCACTCAGAAAAATGCTGTGGCTAACAATATTCCTGAACTCTGACACTTGTATAGTTTCACCAACAATAATTGATTTAAACATTGTATACATTTGAACCTAGCCGATTTGAATGAACAAAACACATAAATTAATAAGATCAAATGCAAGGCCAAGGTGGTCAGGGTGGTGGTGTCATACCGCATTCTTGGGTTTCATTCCTATCTCCTTTAACATTAAATAATCTTTGAATGAAAATATAACACTTATGTACTCTAAAGTGAAGACTTAAAGAGTGCTTTCTTAATGATAAGGTTTGGAATCGAATGTAAGATGTCATGTCATGGCACTGTCCAACCTGACCACCTATGTTTTATGTCTCTATGTTTTTTTTTGTGTTTTAGTTTTTATTAATTCAATACGATGGATGGTTTGGATATTAGATGTTTGAAATCGTCTTTTAAAAAAAATTGACAAGGGATGAGCTTCTCTTGAAAGAAGGATTGTCTGGAACAATAGATGTTCGAACTGGTCCATTGATAAGAAACCCATTTTGGTTATCCAATGTTTGAATTGTTTGTTGTAAAAATAGAGGATATTTGATTTGTTTCTTTTCAAGGCATCAATCACCGTTTGTATACCTCTCTTATATCGATGGAGGATGTTGTGCCTCTAAGAAAATAGTCACTCGTTTTTGAGGACTTTTTTGTAAAAGTGGGTAGGCCCAGCCTATGACTATAGGTGTTTGAGAGGCCATCTCTTTCATTTGATATTGGGTTGGGCTCGCTATATTGTTACCTTTCGTCCATGAAGTTTTTGGGCCTTTTAAATTTAGATGTTCTGAGGAGTGTTTGTAAATTGGCCAGTAATTAGTGTTGTGAAATAAATGGTTGACTTTAGCTATGCCATATTTGATCCTTTATCCTATGATTGACTTGATTTTTGGAGGGTAAGCTCCTGATGTTTTGGATTAAAGATAAACTGAGCTGTCAGATTACTATTTTGGGGTAGTTTGAGCAAAGTTTGACCATGCCTCCATTTGGAATGTCTGATTGTTTGATTTGGGCTTGATTGGGTTGTGATATTTCTTGTTTGCGGAGGGGAGCATCTTTCTATCATATTAAGGGCATTTTTTCTTTTTTTCATCTTAAAATTTATTATGAGATTGTTTTTTACCTACCGAAGTAGACTTAGTTGGGTTGGGCTTTTGTAGCGTAGAACCAGTATAACACTCGTTAAGTGGTATAAGTTTGTTGAAATAGAAAGCTCAAAAATGGGTAAAGGTCCCGAGTAGAACTGTCGTGTGGGGCTATTAATGTATTTAACCATGGGAACTAGGCCTGACCTATTATTTTCTTTGGTACCAATTGTGGAATTGTTTTATTTAATCTTCATGAACTAACAAGTACACCATGGAAGGCTTAATTTCAAAACTTGATGAACAATGAAGGAAGCAATGGGTGGTGGTGGAAGCTAGGCTATTTCTCTCTCTTTCTCTTTATTAAGTTCTCAAATAAATTGAAGTTGTGTTTTTTGAATCTTAGGTTTGTATTTATATTAAAGTGGTACTTAGTGAAGTGATATAGATCATTGATGCTTTTTATCTATGGCACATGAGATGGCTATGATCCTAGCCACTCATCCACATCTATCCACCAAGATGAAGGGATGAGATTACCACACTTCTGTAACCCCTTACTGACCTATTTATGGGATGTTTTGATCATTTTTCCTTTTAGGCATGCTTCACATTTATGACATGGCTCAAACTTTTGTGATGAAGCCACATAAGAAAGTCATATTTCAAAATATCTCCCATGGATTAGATTTTGTTTTGGCTCAAATATCTTAAATATATCAAAAGGGTTACATGGGAGCCTTATACAATTACTAAAAGATTATACGCACCTATGGTGCTTTGGTGATTATATTAGATACCAAGGCTTGTTATAGAATTTTTACAATGGAGTAAATTGTAAATTACTTGTGGGACAAGAACCAAAGAGTAAAAAGGTTAACCTAGGGTTTATGGGTGATTTGTGTGTTGTAGTCTCATTTCTGATCTTGATGGTTGGATTGAGATGAGTGGTTAGGATCATAGCCTCTCATATGCCATAGATGAAAGGCATCAAGGGCCAAGATCA